TCATTCTCTACTACCTTTGCAGAGAGGATTTCTAGTTGGGAGATTTTGTTTTAATTTTTTTTTTAAGATTTTATTATTTATTTGAGAGAGAGCACACAAGTGGGAGGGGCAGAGGGAGAGGGAGAAGCAGACTCCCCACTGAGCAGGGAGCCCGATGTGGGGCTCTATCCCAGGACCCTGGGATTATGACCTGAGCCGAAGGCAGTCCCTCAACTGACTGAGCCACCTAGGTGCCTCTGGGAGATTTTGTTTATAATTGTTTCCCCCAACAACTTGAATGGGACAAATGGAAAGAACAAGGGTTGACTTAGTGAACACAGACTTGGACAGACAACATCGAGGACCATCCTGAACCCCTAATCCCAGCTACCAAAGTTCCCAGAAACTTAGATGCAACATTTTGGAGAAAAGGCAGGAAACCCAATTGAGGAGATTTAATTACTCATCCTCTACAGAATGGGAGCTCAAAGTAAAGATTAATTTGTTATAGAAAAATAAACAATGCATATGTCTTATCTACCTGACTCAGATTTGCACCAACCAAAGCATGAACAGTGGGACTTGCCATTGTTTGACTTCTGGAGTCTTACTTCAGACACCTGTACTAACAACCCATTTCCTTCGGGTGAAGCAGGATGGGGCAATGAGTGCCGGAAACATTGGTAACCTGTATAGCTATAATTGTCAAACTTTGGCACATACTAGATTCACCTGGGGGGTTTTAAAAATGCTGACGCCCAGGCAAAACATCCTGAGCTAATAACTCAGAATCTCTGGCAGGGGGATGCAGCATCACTATTTCTTAAAGTTCCCCAAATGAGTTCACTGTGCAGCAAGTTTGAAAGATTTTAAAGCAGCACTCCTCAAACTTCAGTGTGCACACAAATCAGCTAGAGATCTTGATAAAAAACAGATTCTGATCTAGGAGGTTGGGGCGTGGCCTGAGAGCCTACATTGCCAATCAGCTCCCACTCTAAGTAGCAAGGATTTAAAGACCTCTATTATGTGCCAGGGTTTTACTTCTGATTCTTAAGAAATTAGCTCTTGTGCCGTAAAGGGTAGGCTCTGGAGTCAGACTGCCTGGCTTTGACTCTTGCCTCTGCACTTGATTGGACTTCAGTGTCTTTATCTGTAAACTGAGGATGATGATAACAGTATCTACCATTCTTAGTAGCCGTATAGTAGCATGAGAAAGTGTATCATTAATCTCAATTCACAGAGGAGGACCTTGAAGTTCAAAGAGCATCAGTACTTTACCCAAGTTCACCTTGCTGGTAATTGGCAGGCAGGGGCTTGAGCCCTGGTCTTTTCCCACTTTATCCTATTGCTTTAAGGGTCTGGATTGAATTCAGTCTCATTATCATCCTGTCTTCCCTGTTTCTGATCACAGGATCACTGATGTTCTAGGTGCAGAGACTACAAACCTGAGTCACCTCTGTCCCTGCCTCCCCTTCCCTTTGTAAACGGCTTCCCCTTGCTAAAGCTCTAGAAGTCATGCCTGCTCCCCTGCTCTATTCCCACAGCGTTATTCAAATTCAGTTTCCTAGGGTCTCTCACCCTGAACTTCTGAAATAGCTTTATGTTCTTTTTCATTAGTACTGCATCTCTCATTGGTGTCCCTACTCTGAAATCTTTGGCACTATTTCCAAATTAATCTGACCATGTGACTTCCCCTTTCATAAACCAGCAGTGACTCTCCATTACTTGCCAAATAAAACCCAGTCTTCATCAACTGCTTTTCCACGATCTGACCCTGACCACTTTTTTTTTTAACTATTTCCTCTGTAAAGCCTTCTCCATCTTTCCTCCCCACCATGTGCCCCAAGAGGTCATCTCTTCTCTTCAGAACTCCTCTGCACCTAGCACACTTCTTGCAAACAGTAGGCATCCAATAATCAAATGACTGAATGAATGGCCTTCAGTCCTGAATTCTAATTCCCAAGGGGCGGGGGGCTTAACTCTCATGAATGTCCTTAGAGCCAGTGTCCTCAACCACAGCATTTTGGCAGTTGTGAAATGTGTTGTAACTAATGAGTTTCTATTAATAAAGTATAACGGGGCGCCTGGGTGGCTCAGCTGGTTAAGCAACTGCCTTCAGCTCAGGTCATGATCCCAGGGTCCTGGGATGGAGCCCCGCATCGGGCTCCCTGCTCCGCGGGAAGCCTGCTTCTCCCTCTCCCACTCCCCCTGCTTGTGTTCCCTCTCTCGCTGTCTCTCTCTCTCTCTCTCTCTCTCTCTCTGTCAATTAAATAAATAAATAAAATCTTTAAAAAAATAAAGTATAACATTGTCAAATGATTTACTTCTGATAACTAGAGTGGACTCAAGATGGTCTCTGTGACACCCTTGCTTATTTGCATTCTGTTATGTTTTTTGTGGTTTTGGGTTTTTTTAAGATTTTATTCATTTATTTGACAGAGAGAGACACCCAGGCTCTGTTATGATTTTTGAAGCATAAGAGAACAGGGCGTGACTATAGTTAAGATACTGAAAATGACATGAAACCTGCAATTTTATATTTGCCACAGTGTTTAATGAGCTATCATTACTGATTTTTTTAAATAAAGGGCAGTGTTTTTGGAAAGTAAATTAGCAACATTTCTTTCCTTGAAAAATAACAATTGAGATTTTTGAAATAGTTAACTTCATTACTCAGATGCTTGTCGGATACCTTTCTAAATACTACTCCCATCCCATCCCCTCCCCACCGCCGCCCTGCCCCAATCTAGCACTATTTCCTTTAAGATTCCTGTGGAGCGTTGCAGGCATGGAACTGTCATTTATGTGAGGCAGTAGCGGCCAACTGGTGCTGTTCAACATGGTAGCCGTGTGACTATCGAGCACCTTAAATGTGGCTTGTCCAAATTGAGATGGGCTATTAAAATATACAGTGGCTTTCAAAGAGAGTATCAAAAATAAAGAGTGTAAAATATCTCATTAATATTTTAGATTGATTCCAAGTTGAAATAATTATATCTTGGCTATATCAGGTTAAAGAAAATATAATATTAAAATTCATTACACTTGTTTCTGTTTATCTCTCTTGATTTGGCTACTAGAAAGTTTAAAATTCTAGTATGCGGTTTGCATTTGTGGCTTGCCTTATATTTCTATTGGAAAGTACTGCTCTAGGGCGCCTGGGTGGCTCAGTCGGTGAAGTGTCTACCTTCGGCTCAGGTCATGATCCCAGAGTCCTGGGATCAAGTCCCACATCGGGCTCCCTGCTCATTGGGGAGCCTGTTTCTCCCTCTCCTGCTCTCCCTGCTTGTGCTCTCTCTCTGTCAAATAAATAAATAAAATCTTAAAAAGGAAAGAAAGTACTGCTTTAGGGTACATAAGAAGTATCTGGGAGTCCTGTTTAAAATGCAGAGTGCCAGGACCAGCCCTCTGGGGAATCTAGTTCAGCTTTCTGTATTTTCTGCAGAGATGAGCAGGAGCTACATGAAGTAATGACTGTAATTATTTACTTTCTTGCTTCTCTTCCCACTACTAAGTGCCTGATTTTCTTCGTATTTCTCAGTTGCAATTACCAAGAAAGAGGATCAGTTTGCTCTAGATAATCATAAGTGACCCTCTTTAGTGAGAGCTTTTGTATCAGGCTACCTCACAGGTCTCTGCCCCATGGATTGGCTGTCCTTTGGTCAAGTGTCCATCTCTAGACCAATCATTTGTGGCTGATGGGGAGGGTGGAGGAGGCATGGGTCAGGTTAAACAGAGGACAGGAATGATCAGAACCTCTCCTCTCAGCAGGGCCAATGGATGGCCAGCTTTGTTTACAGGGGACTGTAGGAATGCCCAGCACAGATCGGCCTGGCCAGCAGTGAATTAATTCAGAAAGTAAAAGAACCCAATGCACGTTCAAAGGCCCTGTGAGCACTAGAGCCAAGGATTGATTATTTCCTGAACGACTCTTTGGATACAATTCCAGCCAAGCCACTCTACAAATAATGATGACAATAGATCTATTCCCGAAAATATTTCAGTCACTTCTAACAGCCAGCTGGCCAGAGTAAACAAGGAATTTAGGTGGAGGGAGAGAGCATGCAGAGGCCAATGGGGCAATATATGGAATACAGCGAGGCAGTCATAGTTCCAGTCCCGAAGATGCCGTGACATTGCCCCATGACCTTGGGCAAGACACCCCCAACCCCTCCTGCCTCAGGCTTGTCACCTTTTCAGATTACAAAGTGACAGGGATCATGAAGGTTAGATGGAATGATAGATGTAAAGGTGCTTTTTAAAGTTAGAAGGGCTGCGCAAATGTTGTATTTACAGGTATGAGTTGTCATCAACTATATGTTTACTAACAAAGGAGTAACCCCTACAATAAATCTTACCCAGTGGATAACCCCTGTGCACAGACCATCTGGTTGTATTCAACTTTGTTAAAATATTGGAAATGTTAACTCTCAGCTTTCACAGTTTATTAGCACTCACCTCCAGCTATAGCTTCATCTGGATATGCCTTCAGGAATCCACCTCAAGACATCAAACTCTGCCGGGGGCCCAGCAGCCTGCCATGAACCACACAGTATGCATCAGAGGGAAATACAGTCAGTCCCATGGCTAATGACAACTGTCAGCTTCATCTGATGGTAGCTTTTCCCAATACCTGTCAGAATATTCAAGATTTACGACATCTTCTAATGCCCTACCACAGCATTTCTGTTTCAAATGGCAAGAAAAACTATGAAAGAAAATTTTAGCTATCATGTTTTCAGCCCTGATTAATTGCCATGCAGTCTCTTGGGGGAGAAAACAAAATACAATTTTCTTCATCTTATTCCCCATTTCTTTTACACACAAGATAAGTTGACACGCCTACCCCTACCCCCACCCCCAAGTGCTCAATTTTACAGAGAACCAATTTAGGAATGCTGAGGATGTTTTCCTTTTCTTGTTCCTTTATGGAGAGTCTGACGCGTCTACTATACCAACAACAGGAGGAGAAAAGGGTTTGCGTATTTGCATAATTGATTGGAAGCACGGGAGTTTCGGTGGTTCTGAAAAAGGGAGCTCTGCGTCTTTAAGGCTCCACGGAGCTCCGTCTCTGCTCGACGCAGACAGACCAGCTCTGCCGCAGCGACTCATCCTATCGATAAGGTTCACTTAGCCAAGGTGGAGGATGGGAAAAGAATGGAGCTGTCCCAGCTACTCAATGAGATCAGGGCAAACTATGAAAAGCTCCTCACGAGAAATCAGATAGAGACCGTGCTCTCAACAAGGATCCAGGTAATGATTTCATACAGACAGGCACCTTCCAGGATAAGGAGACAATCCCTGTCTATCCAATTCCTGTCCCGGCCTCTCTGAGGTACAGTATTTCCTTTTCAATGCAGCGTCTACCGGGGAAGGAATTTAGGTTTTACTGCGATGTACTGGGACCACAGGGGGAAATGCTCTGATTATACTGTTACGTCGCCATTCGATTAATGTCAATTGATGATTTTTACATCAGCGGTGAGGTTCCTATCAATAACAAAACATGGGGCCAACATGCAATAAAATGGGGCACTCTAACCTCTTTTAGACATCCTTCAGGAAGGAAGCATTTCAAATACCCTTTGAAAATATTACAGAGTTATTTATAGAGAATGTTTCAATTACGTCTTTAAAATGGCAAGCTTTACGGTAAGATTTATTAGCTTGCACATTTTGTAGAGATAAAACGAAGTAAAATATTTCCGAAAGGTTTCTGTCATCAGTTTTATACCAGATTGTTATAAATGGAAATAATCTAAGTATGTGAAGGTGGCATTCAGAAACAGTGATATAAATTGGGACAATCAAAATTCCCCAAATTGATACTGACTCTCCACTTACAGATTTTTGCTTTTGTACTACAAGATGAGAAAGGTTTTATTTCCAATACAAGTCATGAAATATTTAAGTATTAAAAAGAGGGGGAGCCAAGTTGAATAAAGGCTAAATCCTAATTTCGTAGACTTACTTTGTTTTAAAGTGACATTCACATTTAGCAATTAATTAAGATCTCAAACATTCAAATAAATGTTCAAACAAATATTTTAGAAAGATTTAAAAATTCAGGGTTGTTTTTTGTGTTTTGGGTTTTTGTTTTTTTTTTTTTACGTATCATATCTGAGTTCAGATTCTATTCCAGGTACCCAAATATAGCAAAGAGTGAACTTAAGAACAATCACCAATAGGGAAAAAATATTTCTAGGAAATCATAGGACTTTATATCATTAGCAGTTCATTTTTGGTAATGAATTTTGGTAAGTAAATTTCACCTCTAGGTAATATTTTCAGTCTTCACAAAGAATGATCAGTACCCTAGATCATGCAAAGTCACTGGGATATTTAAGTGTTGGAATAGTTCACTCACCTTTTGCAAAGAGAAGGGAAAAAATTACTAGATGACAATTTCTGAAAATTATAAACCAAATAAACATTTTATTTTGCGATGGTACCAATACAAGTTATTTAGTTTGTAAGTCATAATGCCAAAATTAGTAAATTAAAGGGAAAAGGCAAGGCTACTATAAGTTTTGTTTAGGGTCTTTTTAACATACATCTACTTTAGAGGATTTTTTTTTTCAAAGAATTCAGAAAGTCAGTTGGAATAAATTCAGGGAAGTCTGTTCATTATTACAAAATAAAGAAACATAAGCTTTTTGTGATTTATTGCTGTAGAACAAACTACCCCCAAATTTAGTAGATTAAAACAACCATGGCATTCTCTCTCATGATTCTATGTGTTGAGTGGGTTCAGGTGGGGGTGATTCTTCCACTGTGACATTGGCTAAGACTATAATCATCTTGGGGCATAACTGGGCTGGGACATCCAAGGTGGCTCACTTCTGTGTCTAGAGCCTTGGCAGGGGATTTTTGGAAGGCCGGCTCAGCTGAGACAATTGGGTCTGTTCCTCTCTCTCCAGGTTGCCTCAGGGTCTTTCACCATCTGGCCTCTATGCGACCTCTCCAGCAGGGTATCCAGACTTCTTAACATGTTGGCCCAAGTCTCCCAAAAGCACAGGAGTACAAGTTGTCAGGGCTTCCTGAGGTTTAGGACTAAACCTGGCACTTCCGCCACATTCTGCTGGCTAAAGCAAGACACAAGCTCTGCCCAGATTCAGTACAGAAGGGGACCACACAGGGACATGAATTTGGGGAGGTCTGGGTCATTGGGGGCTGTCTTCGGCATCTAGCTACCACACAAAAATAGCTGCCAGTTCCATATACAAAATCCAAAAGACCAGCAGATACAAGCATTTTTATGCCCTCCTGTTTCCTAAATTCTTGACATTCTCTTTTGTAGTTGCTCTGCTAAGTGTTGCTGCTTAACTTTGCCAACCTAACACTAAGAACAAGTGATACAGCAAACCAAAAGAGATGTATGAATTTTGTTCTTTAATGCCTTGCCCTCAACTTTGTGAACTTTCATTTACTGCAATGCTTTCTTTAAAAAAAAAAACAAACTCTCGTACCATCTAATTAAAATGTGTTATTTCAAAATGCATTTTTATAAAAGCATTAATAAGTTGTAATTTTTGCTACAAAAGACTACAATCAATTCCATACATTGCCCCTGCTGCTCTTGGGGCCAAATGTTGAGAATTCTGTCAAAAGATAATTTCATTTGATTTAAACATCAGCATGAGAAATATAGTCCACTTGCTATTTAATATGATGACATTTAGAAAACAATCTTTATAAAGATGTAATTTTGGCCACTTCCCTAGATACCAAGATTAACATGCTTTCCAAAAAGATCATTTGCAAAAGGTAAATCAACAGTGGGTTCTCTTTCTACGGAAGTCTATTTTAGAGCCTCTAATGCCTATGATAACCTAATTCTCTAAATTATTCATAATATACTTTCCAGCAGTATTTAATCTCTGTCCATATGCCCAGTCCCAGAATTGATCAGTTTAAGACATATAACTGTTTATCTGCTTTTACAAAGCAGCCTACAAGAAAATATAGGGGGAAATAACAGCTGAGTTTCAATCCATCTTCCTCATAATGCCATAAATAATAGAAAGTTAAGAATCAGAGGTCTCAAACTTAGATCCTGCAAACTGTGACTTTTCATTAAAACAGATATATTTTTCTCTGCATTTCATAGACTGTCATAGTAGGAAGAGACGCCTGAGGTTCATTGTATTATCTGAGAACACTGAAGCTGAACATGCAATTCACTTACTCCCACACCTGACTAATGAGTAACTAAGCACTGGAACACACTTTTGAAATTTAGCAGTTTAAAGAAAAAAATGATGAGGCACCTGTGCTGTGTTCCTAGGATGACTTTTAAAAGTTCTCATTTTCAAGAGTGCTCTTTGTTTCTGTTGTTCTTGTTGCTGGTGGCTTTCTTAAAGCTAGAAGAAGATATGAGCAAAAAAATGGACAAAGATGAAGAGGCTTTAAAGGCAGCTCAAGCAGAACTCAAGGAAGCTCGACGCCAGTGGCACCACCTGCAAGTGGAAATTGAGTCTCTCCAGGCGGTGGTGAGAATGAGCTCAAAAGCAACTGGCCCACTGAGTCCCCAGACGTTTGTTGACTAAGAGAGAAAGGAATAATGCCCATTACCTTACAGTGAGAAACTTAAAAAGCAAGGCCACTGAATTCTATCCTTGGTCCTGGTTCAACTACCCCCCTCCCTCCATCATGGCCATGGCTATTATCAATTCATTCAAGGTCTAGTTCACGCCTATAAAAAGGAAGTCATCCTTGCTTATCAACCTGGGGTTCTCTAATAGCTGTAGTGGGAGAATATAGCCTTTGCCATTACCCAAAGTTATCACGGGGTGGGGGGGAGGGGTGGGGGGAGGGAGTCTTCTATCCCCATGCCTGAGATTTCTAATAGTAAAAAATATTTAAACACCTTCCTAAAATGCCTTTTCTAAGCAGCCCACTCTGCTTTAACATTCAATATTCTACATTTCCAATTTTAAAAAAACCAAATAAATCAGTGGTAATAAGTCAGTCATACTGCAGATTTTTTTTTTTTGGCCAAAAGAATTATCACAGGATTCCTTTGAAATAGTAAGCTCTCTAGCTATCTAGATATATTTTTTTTCATTTGAGTCACACAAATTTGTAAGGAAATATCTTTTGCATAAGTGAAGTACCATTATTGCAGACTTTTAAAGAACGCAATAGAACGGAGACATTGCAAATCAGATTTCAGCAGCACATTTTGTTTCACTGATTTCACTGATGAAGATCTATATGAAACAGGAAAGGGGCCTGGAAAACTCCCTACATGCCAGTGAGCAACATTACCAGATGCAGTTGCAAGATCTAGAGACGGTGATTGAAGGACTAGAAAAAGAGCTACAGGAAGTAAGGCGCGGCATCGAAAAGCAGCTTCAAGAGCATGAGATGCTTCTCAACACGAAGATGAGGCTAGAACAAGAAATTGCCACTTATCGCCGCCTCCTAGAAAAGGAAGAAATCAGGTACCTAACTCCATATACAGTAGTTAATGGCAAGTGACCAGAGCTTCTGTCTTTGTTGAGGTAGTCCGAGAAATTACATCTAAAAACCCATCATCACCATGGCGTGCTCACTGGGTTCCTATAGCAAAGTAGGATTAGTACGCATTGCAAAGAATATGTGGAAGAACTATTTCCAGCCTCCCAAAATTATGAACAGAATGGCCAAAGTCAGGGACAGTAGCTACAACAAAGAGTGCTTCAAGCCTAGAGCGAAATGTAACTAATTCTCAATCGCTACAAAAATGACCTTTCTTAACTTACTCACTTTCCTTGTCCTTCATCTCTTAGAATTAGTCAGTGCCTTCTATGGACCACCCACAAAGAAAGCTTGGAAAATGCACATATTACCACATCCCCCCACCCAGGGCCCACTCCCACCACAGATCAAAAGTCAAAATTAATAATAATAATAATAATGTAATTATATTACCACCACAAAAAACAATTTAGTTCTGAATATATGATTTAAAAGACTTCCAAATGTCCTGAAACAAAAGGTATCAAAATATCAAAAGAGGAATTCTTACTAATTCACAGTTACATAATCTACAATCACTTAAAAGGTCACATGGCTTTGAGTGCAGGACAACCTCCAGTTTTCCATGTTCCCATAGAAAGAAACCTTTATTCTTGCTTGCTTCAGAATTCTGAGTCCTCTACAAAATTAGATGAAACTACTTTAACCTATAATAAGTTTTGACATTTACTAAAGCTTTGAAAAACATAAATTGAATTCAAAATCTACCACTTACTAGCTGAGTGACACCAAGCAAGTTACCAAACCTCTCTGTGTCTGTTTTTTCATCCATAAAATGGGAATTATATTACCTACCTCATAGGATTGCTGTGAGGATTAAATAAATTGTTTGTAAAGTGATTAAAACAGTGCTCTGTGAGTATACACACACACATACAATTTGTTGTTGAATAAAATAAGTGGTTGCGGATTTTATTTAATGCCTAATCATTCAAGATGTTGATAAAGTGGTCTTTAATATTCCTTTAATACAATTTTTAAAATTTTTATTATGCTATGTTTAAGATATACAAGAAAGTATCAAGAAAAATATCATGGGGGCGCCTGGGTGGCTCAGTTGTTAAGCGTCTGCCTTCAGCTCAGGTCATGGTCCCAGGGTCCTGGGATCGAGCCCCGCATCGGGCTCCCTGCTCCGCGGGAAGCCTGCTTCTCCCTCTCCCACTCCCCCTGCTTGTGTTCCCTCTCTCGCTGTGCCTCTGTCAAATAAATAAATAAAATCTTTAAAAAAAAAAAAAAAGAAAGAAAAATATCATGAACTTCATGTACACACTTCCCCCAGCTTGAGAAGTAAAATATTTACAGTGTTGTTGAAGTCTTCCTACCCCCACCCCAGGCACCTAAACCATATCCCAACCCCCCATCCTCCTCCCTTAGTCTAACCTGGCTCCTGAATTTGACGCTTATTAGCCTTAAACATTCCTTTATACTAATAGGTAAATATGGATCCCTAAACAAAATATGAAAGTTTTTTGAATATTATTTAACCTTTGTAAAGTTAGCTACAAATCACCTTTCTTTTCCCACTCAGTGTTATATTTAGGAGGTTCATCCATAAAGATATAGTGTAGCCTTAGTTCATTTATTTTCATTGCTTAATAGTATTTCCATTGTATGAATATACTACATTTTATTCATTCTCTTACTGGTGAGCATTTGTTTCAATTATTAGGCTAATACAGTGTTGCTTCTATAATATAATTCTTTCCAATTTCAGATATTATGGTTGTATCCAAGGTGAGAAAAAAGAACAGAAACCTACGACAAGTAGAGTTGGTTTTGTTTTACCTTCAGGTGAGTTTCTGATATAGGTAAACGAACTTGAAAAATAAAGTGCCATTTAACTAAATACTATAAAATAGCAAAAACAAGCAATATTTGAATAAAGTTTGACATATAAATCAACTGTGACTAGTACTACAACATTGTATTTTAATGTTTCACGATAACATTTTCACAGCCATTATAAATGAAATATCTTTTTCAACGAAACTCCCACAAAAGTATGAGAACGAAAAAGTGGAAACAGTGACCAAACAGGCAGTACTAAATGGAAATCTCGTGAAGGAAAGCACTGAGGCTCGTGGCACTATTCAGTAAGTAAAATAACTTTGACTAATAATAATAAACACATGCAAAGAAATTAACTTCAGTTGAGTAATCAGTAATCTTTGCGTGTTTCCAAACATAATTTTAACATGCTATGATTTTTTTTAATCTGACATGAGTAAATATATATAAACAAAAACTCAGATACAGGAGTAATCAATCCTTAATTTGCCATTTTTCCAAAAATATAATCAAAACATGAGAATTCCATAGAATTCCTTGGAAATTATACCTGTGTAATTTTTAAAGTATGTAAATTATAAATTCCACAATGTAAATTGTGAGTTATAATTCAAAATGTGTCAATTATGAATTATACAAATTTCTTGATTTCTTTTTCATATGGAATCCATATTACATATTTTTAGTAGACCCATACTTCTTCATATGGAAAGATTTATTGTATCATTTCAGGACAGAAAAAGTGGATGAAGTTATTAAAGAATGGGAAGGCTCCTTCTTTAAAGATAACCCTCGATTAAGGAAAAAATCGGTTTCTCTTCGATTTGATCTTCATTTAGCAGCCACTGATGAAGGGTGTTTACAGACTAAGCAGGATAATCTACCAGATATAGAAGTCAGGCTTATCATGAGAAGATCATGCAGTATCCCCTCTATCAAACCTCCATCAGGAGCTAATTAATCCAAAGACAGTATTTGACTTGATTTGAAAATGACATTAGGGTGGACCAAGGTGGGCCATGCTGACTGCCTTCTGTCCCAAAATGTAAGTTATTAAGTTTGTATGTTATGATCAATGTGTGATTCTCTTCAGAAAACAAACAGGAAGGGACAAAATTTCTCTGAATCTAATTACGGATGTATTCTTTGAAGAGAGGGAGTTTCAAAATAAAATCAGAAATTCAGTATGGTTTCTATTTTATTTACTCCAAATAGTCTTCTTTTCCTCTTGAAATTTTATCAGAGACTATAAGCGTTAAGGTGGCTTGGTTAAGTCTTTGAAATTTCACTCAGTGGCCGAATATTCTAAGGAAAGGGAACAATTTGTTTAAGTATGATTGTATTATCTTAAGAATCACACTGACTTATTCATCATTACTCCATGACTGGTTATTTCTAAAAAGATTTTTCTACTTAAAAAAAAAAACAATTGTAAACAAGCTTTTAAAGAGGACTCACTAGTCACAGAACCAAAAAAAAAATTTTTTTTTTTTTTGAGATAATCATTCGCATACTTAGAAAAATAACAGAACCACTTTCCATGAGCCATTCCAAGCAAACTATAGAACACACCGCTGGCTAATTTGATGATTAAATAAATTTAAATTCATCTTCATCCAAAAGCTTTTTGCATTCATGATCTGATTTCCAAAAGAGTTACTTTATTCAAGGAACTTTAAGGTTGTGTCCTCCCCCACAAAAAATCAGAAGGCCAGCAGCACAAAGAGAAGATGAAAATCTCATTCTCATTGCTACCATTACTAGAATAGAGTCCTCTAATGTCACCACCCCAGCTTTTCCATCTGTAAAGTTAAATGTGACCAATTTGAATATTCGATGTGAGCATTAGGTAAGATACTATGTAAAGTATTATAAATATTTCTTGCAATCATTTATGTGAATTAAGATAACAATATTGTTATCTAAGCGACGAGTATTTGCAGGATTTCTGTTTTTAAATTGTTCAGACTATAATAACTACGGACAGAAAATCTATTTGTGAATAAGTCAAGTATTGTAGCAAAGTTTTTTAAACAACTTAATTTGTTTAAACAGGCATATTTATTTATTTTAAGACCTTAAATAATAAATACCTGTCTTAAAACATTAGAAATTTATAGGCTATCACTTTTTTTCTAAGCAGAAAAAAATGTTGATTACAACTCACCATACTTTTTCCCAGCTGAAGTATCATCGAAGGGCTACAGCTCAGTTAGCATTTTTATTACCAATCTTTACAGTCTCTCTTTCTCTCCTTTATTTGACACAGAACAAAATGTATATTTTAACCAGGAGAAAATTGTATTAAATCATCTTTAACATAATACAGGGATATAAAATTTTAATTTTTTTTCAATTGCTTTAGATTCCTTTTAGCCTCTCTTATTCTGTTTAGCAAAAGGGATGATTTTGTTTTGTCAAGGATACGACAGCATGTTAAATGCTTATTCTTGTGTAAGCATCTGACCTAAAATACATCCTGTACATAGTGTTTTCATTCAATATTAGTTAAATGCTATGCTACTAACTTTATTAATGCTTTAAAAAATGCAATCCTGTAAACTATTATATTAAAGTCATTGTACTCAGCAACAGTAATCATAATAAAACAATATATCTAGTGTAATCTACATGCAGTGTTCAGAACAGTACTGGGTATCGTGAATGTAACTGCTTGTTATAGTAATTCCGCTATGCAGCTCTTGTGTGCATAACATGTACATTTTAAAATACAGTACTTGAATTTATAAAAAAAAAAACATTTTATTTGCTTTGGGGCATTTTAAATTGGGATATGAATTTACCAAAGTAAATGATACCACTACAATAAAAAAAACTGAAACATGAACTCCAAAGCTGCATTTTATTTGAGTTTGATACATTGTATTGAGTTCAATTGTTCCGATATTTTTAGCTTGCTTGGGGAATAAAGAAAAATGCAACCACAGAGAGATAACAGTTTTTACGCTTTTTTTGCAAAAGAAAAGTTAAGAATGGTACAGTCTAATAAATAGTATATTCTATTTAAGAGAATCAAAACAATCCCGTAACCCTGAGAAAAGGATAATAGTAGCCATAATTTGCAAAGCGTTTATTCTGCTCCTGGCACTGTCCTCAGCAAACTCATACATGATGTCTAATCCTGACAGCAGGGCTACAAGATTCTATCCTCATTTTATGGATGAGTATAAATTAATATTCTTCAGTCTCTCTGACTTTTGTGTATGTCAACATACAAATACGGAAGCAAAGAGTAATTTCAGTTACCAACAATAATAGGATCCCAGCCTGGGTGCTATCACTAATTCCCCATGTGAGCGGGAAGGAATCACTGAAGTCCTCTAGGCCTCAATTTCACACTCAAAAACAAAGGGAAAGTTGGTGCTTGGTAATATTCCTTCCCTGCCTGCATCACAGAGTTGTTTGAAATAAAATACATGTGAAAATATTTGACAAAGCACTACTCAAATATACAGTACCATTTAGATAAAAATTGTCATTGGGAATTTGTGAAAACAATCATGGCTGATGATGATTAAGTAATAATTCAAAACACAACAGGTAAAGAAAATTTTCAAATTCTTCAACTGCTGCCAGACAAATTATCCTTTCCCAGGGAGTTGCCTAATTTGAATTGTTCTACCACAGTAGTTTTGAAAGTACAAAAACGTTCTCTTAAAAAAAAAATGCTTAAATTAATTTGAAAGTTTCAAGTGGAAACATATTATGGGACATGGGCCAAAATTAAACTTTAGTTAAATAACATGTATACACACATTACTCAAAGGATCAACACATAAAATCAGAGTGTACACAGAGAATTTGCTTCTGTGTCTATAAATTATGGCCAGCATGGACCCACAGATTGCTAATACTGATGGACATACTACAGATACAGACTTTAGAAGTTTGTTTTTGTTTTTGTTTTTTTAAGATTTTATTTATTTATTTGACAGAGAGACAGCGGGAGAGGGAACACAAGCAGGGGGTAGTGGGAGAAGCAGGCTTCCTGCTGAGCAGGGAGCCCGATGCGGGGAGCCCGATCCCAGGACCCTAGGATCATGACCTGAGCCAAAGGCAGACGCCTAATGAATGAGCCACCCAGGTGCCCCTACAGATACAGACTTGAAAGTAAGGTATATGTGCGATCAGTACAAGACTTTTCCAGTTTCCCTCACCCACTTAGACCCTAGGCCAAGGTTGGTAAACTTGCTCTGTAAAAGCCCACATAGCAAATATTGTAGGCTTTTTAGGCCATAGGATCCCTGTAAGAACTATAGGACTCTGCCCTTGTAGCTGAAAGCAACTATAAATAATACGGAAACACATGGGCATGGTTGTGTCCTAACAAACTATAAAAACAGGAGGCAGCTTAGATTGGGCCTGTGGCGGTCATTCGCTCACACCTGCCCTGGACCCTCAAATGAGGTCTGTGGATGCTAAACCATACCCCCAGATTCTTCAGGACCATCGTGTTTTCATCCTTTCCCATACCATGTGTCAAAGCTCATGTCCCAAATCCTCAAGGTATTTTGCAGGCAACATGGAAGTTTGCAAAAGCAACCCATACTTTGTCAAATTCAACAAAACACTGTGAATTACTCTGTCCTGGAAATCTACCGGGCTCCAATATTTCACAACTATTTCTAGCAATAGAAACTGAATAACCATAACTTCTGCTTTCACAGAAACAGCTGAGAAAATTAACCTATTTTACCATTTGGCCTATAACCAGACTTTTATAAGCTATTCCGTCCAGGGAGAACTGTATCATCCCTTTCCCTATTTGAAGGGGCGGGAAAAAAATCCATTTAAGGGGCACCTGGGTTGTGTAGTCAGTTAAGCGTCCAGCTTTTGATTTTGGCTCAGGTCATGATCTCAGGGTCCTGGGATCAAGCCCAACCTCAGGCTCTGCACTTAGCACTGAGTCGGCTTGAGATTCCCTCTCCTTCTGCCCCTCCCGCTCATTCTCTCTCTTTCTAAAATAAATAAATAAATCTTTAGAAGAAAAAAAAATCCATTTAAAATAGCTTCATTAAAAATACTACAGACAGGGGCCCTGGGTGGCTCAGTCGTTAGGTGTCTGCCTTCGGCCCAGGTCATGATCCCAGGGTCCTGGAATCGAGCCCCGCATCGGGCTGCCTTCTCCGCAGGAAGCCTGCTTCTCCCTCTCCCATTCCCCCTGCTTGTGTTCCCTCTCTCGCTGACACAGCGAAAAATCAAAGAGACCTGGGCTTAAATCCAACTTAATCACTTACTAGTTTTGGCTTCCCTGTTTGTGGGGAAGAAGAACCTCAAAAAAGTATGGGTAAGTGTCAGAGAGGAAAACAGGCCAAGTTTCTGGGTCTCACTGCCAGAAAGAAAACTAAACTACTTGGGCCTAAGACTAGGCTTCTGTGAGGGCTCCTAACAACCTTTATAGTTACAATAATTTAGTCATAATTAATGATGCATCTCATATTTTCCAGGAATAATCACCATTCCAAAAGTCTGTTTTGTCATCCCCATAAATACCCCAGTACTTATAAGAACATACCTGAGTTTGCTTTGGGGGAAAAAAAACCACAACTCAGTGTAAGTACAGCCTATCTTGCTGAATCTTTTTCTCTTCAGTCTTAATTTCTTCAGGACTAGGGAACAGATTTTTTTTCTATTATATTTTGTCTGCATTCTTCCTTTCTTAATTTTACAAATCTCTGGGAGTGGAAAAAGAGCCAAGCAGAGAAAAATGAGATAACCATTAATTCATTCTGCAAATACTGAGCACCTGCATGTACCATATACTGTTCCAGAAGTGAAACGTCCCCACCCTCAAAGAGCCTTCATTCTGATGGGAAGAAAAAGATAACAAAATAAATCCATAACAAATATAGTATGTTAGGTGGTGATGGGAGTTATAGAAAAAAATGAAGCACAGACCATGGAGAGAGCTGGAAAATGAGCTGCAATTCTACATAGGTCTGAGAAGACCCACTGAGAAGACACTTAAGTAAAGACCAGGAGGTAGGAAAGTGTATCAATGTCACTGCTCCACTCAGATCCCCTCCTTTCTTTTTCCACCATTTTTGTGCCACCCCTTTCTCACTACAGGGTAACATCCAGCACCTGCCGAGGACTGCCTGGAGATGACAAAATGGAGCATGTGCCCCAGCACTGCACTTGCCCAGTCCCCCACCATAACCCCAAGTGCAGCTTAGAAACCAGGCCAGAGATGCTGGACGATACCAGAAAAAGAAGGTACTGGGATCCTTGCTGAGACTTCCATGTATCTTACATTAATCTTTTATATGTCTCAGATGCTTTTATATTAAAAAGTCAGTTTCGAGTACTTGACCCTTGAACAACACGGGTTTGAACTGTGTGTGTCCACTTACATGTGGATTTTTTTTTCCACTAAATACAATGGAAAATTTTTTTGAGATTTGCAACGATTTGAAAAAAAGCTTGCAGAGGAACTGCATAGCCTAGAAATGCCAAAAAATTTTAAGACAGAGTTAGGTATTACTGTAAGAACACAGTATAAAATACATATAAGGTACAAAATATGTGTTAACTGACCACTTACGTCATCAGTAAGGCTTCCAATCAAAAGTATACTATTAGTAGGTAAGTTTGGGGGGCATCACAAGTTATAGCTGGATTTTCAACTACTTCCCTTGCTCAAGGCCAACTGTACATTAACTCAAGTACCACTCAGACTATTATCCTTTGATGACCTCTCTCTGTCTTCCCTTTCAATTTCACTAACCTCTATTTATGAGTATGAAAATATTGGAAGCAGAATTAGACAAAATTTCACTTATGCCTGGCTTTGCAGACTTCTGGAGATGCCCTGGTCCCTGACCGCACACCCAAAAGCACCTAAGAGCAGCCCAAGAATTCAGTCACTAAATGTCAACAGTGTTTTTATTTTTAAGATTTTTTATTTATTTACTTGACAGAGAGAGACACAGAGAGAGTGGGAACACAAGCAGGGGGAGTGGGAGAGGGAGAAGCAGGCTTCCCGCTGAGCAGGGAGCCCGATGCGGGGCTCTGTCCCAAGACCCTGGGACCATGACCTGAGCCGAAGGCCGACGCTTAAGGACTGAGCCATCCAGATGCCCCTCAACGGTGTTTTTTTTTGTTTGTTTGTTTGTTTTTTTAAAGTAACGGGGGTTTTTTGTTTTTTTTTTTAAAGATTCTTTTTTTTTTATTTATTTATTTGAGAGAGAGAGAATGAGAGATAGAGAGCACAAGAGGGAAGAGGGTCAGAGGGAGAAGCAGACTCCCCGTCAAGCAGGGAGCCCGATGTGGGACTCGATCCTGGGACTCCGGGATCATGACCTGAGCCGAAGGCAGTCACTCAACCAACTGAGCCATCCAGATGCCCCTCAACGGTGTTTTTAATTACAGATCCTTCACCCTTCACAGCGGCCCACCATGGGCCAGGTGTTTATGTATCCAAGGAAGCGGGTAGTAACTGGTAAACCAACGTACTCACGATTTAGTGGAAAGAACCCTGGACTAGACCAGAAAGCTGCCTCAGTACACATTTATTGAGCATCTAGCAATGATTCAAGCCCTAAGCAGGGACTGGCAATAGAAAGATGATCAATGCAGATAACTGAACCTTTGCTTTCAAGGCCCACGTAATGCGCTGGAGATAACAAACGCAGTCCAATACAATGGATTGGGTATAGGGTACAATAAAGTTACCAAAGAACCGTGGGAGTTCAGAGGAAGGACTATGGGGGGCGAGGGGGGGAGTTCCAGGAGGGCACCACAGTGAGAATCTGAGCAGGATCCGGAAGGACAGATGAGCTTAAGCTGAAAGTGGGGATGAGCCAAGGCAGCGCTGGGCAGAGACTAGTGGCACCCCTCGCGCTGCAAAGGCGCACAACCTTGGCCCAGAGGATTTGCATCTCTGGGCCCCGGCTCAGAAACCTGGCAATTACACCACATGCGTGGTTGGAAAAACTGAAAAGGTCCGTGTTGCTTTTGGTCAAGGTTTAATGCCTGGCCGTTAAGGCAGGAAGCCCCGCGAGGCGCGCGTGGGAACGGAAACTCCGCGAACCCAGTCGTCCTCGCCTCCATCCTCAGCTTGCTGAAGTATATACTCTTGCTCCGAGAGAAAGAGCAAGGAAGAACCCGGAAAAACCACCACCACCACCACCACCACCACCCGCGGGCGCCGCGGGAGCCTGGCTGGCGCGGCCGCAGTGGTTCCGGGCCTCTCTACCCGGAGAGACCCCGCCGTCTTCAGGCCCCGCGTGTGGAAGCCGAGGCCAGCGCTCCCCGCCACGCCACCTGCAGCCGCTCCGGCTCCGCGCGGCGGCCGACCGGGCCTCTCCCGCCGCCGGGCCCCTCCGCCCACTTCGCCGTGACGAATCGGCGCCCGGCCTGGAGAGGGCCCACACGCGGGGGGTTCTGAAGATCGTCTGGGGCCTGAAAAAAATCCCTGACCGGACGAAGCATCATCGCGTCCTCACCTGGAGGTTTATTTTTTTTAAAAAGAGTCTGGTGAGGCCTGGAAAGCAATTAAGAAGAGTGTGGAAAGTGCGAGTACGGACGCTCCGGACGCGAGGGGCGGGGCGTGCGCGGGACAAAGGGAAACGAGGCCGGAGCTGCGGGCGCTTTTTCTGCCCGCGGGTGAGTGCTTCCGACTGGGCCCGAGCGCGTCGGGAGGGTGGAGAGTCGCGGTGGCCCGGCTTGGCTGGACCTCGAGTTCCTGGGGGCTGCTGGGGTTCAGGCTGGGCCGTGGGCCCGGAGCTGGGGGCCGGTTGCGGCCTCCTTGAGGCCTAGCGGAGCGGGGTTCGGGAGGGAGTCCCCTCCGGGGCCCCTCCCCGGCGGCAAGATTTGCCCCTTCCACTCACCCCGCGAAATTGGTCGAGGCACCTATGCATTCCCCTCTTCGGTGGAGTTGTTAGTGAAGTGCATTCTCCACAACAACCTAAAGGAAACGACCTCGGGGAAGCCTTTGGGGCAAGCCAAGCCCGTGGTGCATCCCCCCAGGAAGGTGGTTTCCCCTTGGTTCGGCAGCGACCGAGGACTCACGGTGTGGCTTCGAGTAGAGAGCGGAAGCTCTGAAACAGTTTGGCCTGGGTTTGAAACCCAGCTCTGGCACTTCCTGGCTGTGTGGCTTTAGACAAGTTACTTAAACTCGCCGAGGCTCCCATTTTTCATGTGTAAAGTAGGGTATCAATACATATCTCGTAGGGTAGTTGTGACCATGAACCGAGATAAGTGATAAGCCTGCCCCCGTATAAAGTGTTCAACGAATACCTAGTATTTTATGCCAGACACCAGGGGTGGATCCAGTGGCAGACAAACGTACAAGCCCACTCTTAGAATTTATCGTAGCAGACGAGAGCAGTAATTTTAAGGTATTAACAATAAAGTGTGATGTACCAGGGAGCTTTGGCACTTATTGTCAGGGCTCCCCACAGCAAGGCCTACTTGTTGTTGACACCCCCCCCCCCCCCCCCCGCAATGTGAGCAGGAAGGAGATCTGCACCAGAGTCCATGGTTTGTGCCCCTTCCTTACGGAAAGGGAGAGACCCAGGTTGGGCCATTGAAAAAAATATTTATTCCCACACAGTCTTCTGACTCCTTACGCTCCAGGGAATTGCCTTAAAATGTAGAATAGAAGCAAAAGCTTCTTTTCCACATGCTTGCTTCACATAATGTGTGATGAAAGTACTCCAGTAGTCATAGAAGTTATTTGCTCTTTTTCTAAAATGTTTGTCTCTTTGTACGCATTGTGTGTGATGTATATTGATGTAAGAAACAAGCTGACACCTTTATGTTCTTGTTCCAAGCTGGTAATACTAAGACAAAATGTAAGAATTGAGCTAGGTGCTGGGACTACAATAATGAATGAGATGGCCTCTGTTCTACAGTTTAGCCATATTAACAGGTATAATACAATATAATGAACAATATTATAGATTTATGTGAATTGGATAGGAGTACAGAGGAGGAAGCACTTCGTTCTCCCCAAGTAATTTATCACGAAATCTCCATTGAGGAGATATATTTTGAAATGGGCTGCGAAGGGTTAATAAGTTTTTCAGGTAGACCTCAAAAGTTATTCCCAGGATATATAAAGCTATTTACCACTATAAGAGAATGTAAAGCTCATTATCAACCAGTTACCTTTTGCACTGCCTCCAGAAATAAAATGCTGCCTTGTTTTAATAGAAGTTGTTATTCTAAGAGGAAGGTAGAGCTGCTGTTGATCAGTGAGCTGTTAGTATCTGGTAGGCGCCTTTGGGGTGGGCCCTGATAATACATCACATTCTATGCTCAGTCATTATATTTTTATCAGTTTGATTAAATGTTTACATGGCATTAGCAGAATGTTTTCCATGCAGGAGGTGGCAAGAAAAAACTAGAAAGTACACGTCTAATATTACTTTTAATATCCCCAGTAATTGGTTTTAGTTGTTTAATTCTGATGAACCAAATGACCTATAGGATTTAGTAAAATATGCAAAGGATATGATTACTAGAAGATAGTGTAATTTTACTAAGAAATACCAATTAAACTACCCTATTCTTTAGGAAAACATCTCTTATGCTTGCTGAGTTTTGATTCTCTTTTTTTTTTCTTTTTTTTTCTTTTTTTTATTTTAGTGTCTCAGATTCATTCTTAAGGAACTGAGAACTTAATCTTCCAAAATGTCAAGTAAGTTTCATTTTTTATATTTATCTATTGATAAGAGACTAATGCCCTAGCAAATGGGAATTCCAAAATACTCTCATTTTTTTTTCTTCAAAACAGGACCATTGGTAGTTTTGTTGCATAGTATTATATCTCAGTTGTTTACAAGAAGTTATTTATTTTCTTTCAAACAGAAAGACCATCTTATGCCCCACCTCCCACCCCAGCTCCTGCAACAGTAAGTTTTAATTTTCTTGTTAATGTAATAGCCAAGTCTGGCCTTGATACAAAAACCCAGATGTCTTCCAGTGACAGTCACTCAATCATCACAGCAACAGGATGAAAAATTCAGCCAAAAAAACAGCACTTCCTACTAAATAAAATAACTCTTTGCATCTTACCTTGAACTACCCCCAACATTTAAAGAAACATATTGCTGAAATTCCAACCTCCTATGCTCAGTTCTTTTTTTTTAATGGGAAATAAATGATAAGTTTAACACCTCTTTCTAGATAATCTCTATCAAGAGTCTTAAAAGTTGATACTGAGTGAATGCTCATTCTGGCATTTGTTATTATTTTTAAACCTAACCTTCAACTGGTTACACTTTTCTGTCCTTGTTTATATATAACTTTCATATTAAATCAAACAATAAAGCTTCCAGTTCTATAATAACACTCATTGTAAATTTTTATTTTTCAAGCTGTTTAAGTAAGGATTTCATTATCTGTGGGTCAGATCCTGCCTATTGAATATGTTTCCAAGTTTCTAAATAATACTTGTGAACTAGGTTTTTCACCCAGCAAGTTCTGGCCCAGCTTGGACAGCATGTAAAATAATCGTCCAATCCACAAAACAGATATAACAGGAACTGTTCAGGCCTTACTGAAACGGATTCCTTGTTGTTTTGGGTTTTTTTTTTTTTTTTAAAAAAAAAAAAAACACACTGTTAACATTGACCATAGCTTACAAAAGCAGTTCTTTAACAGCTGTTAGCCCTCCTTCCTGACCCCTTACCCCTAAATTGCAGGCTAGCCTACTAATTAGGTCCTTGTGTAATTTTTTTCTCCACTAGATGACTGCTCTTTTACTTACTAACCCTCAGATGTATGCTTTAGTTCTATTTAGCAACAGTTTGTTTCTCCTTAGTAAGATACTTCTTAAAAGAGATACTGTATCTCATGTTCTCATTTCAATTTATGTAATATACAGTTTCTAAAGTTACTTCCCGTAGATCTTAAAGTCCTGTGTTTGGTTTGTTTTCTTTCTTAAATCAAAGAACATCTCTTAGGACCATCTCCTTGGCACTCTGCTAGTGGCTATACAGGTGGAATTGAACAATTGAGATTCCTGACCTCAAAGAGCTAACCATGTACTTCAGTTTTGGAAATGGTACAACTGTAATGTTTTAGTTTTGATTTTTTTTTTATTCCCTTAATTTTCTTACATTATTGCCTCATAATGTTGAACAGTGATTCTCATTCTTTATGCAACCTTTGAAGATGTCGTTTTGACGTACATACTGCCTCTGACAGTGTATAATCTCTGGAAGACAGACTTGATTTTTTTGGGATAATAAAAATAGCTCAAAAACCAAGTGTCCCCCTTATGACTTCTCAGATATAGAGAGGGATTTTTTTTTTTTGGCCTTTCTTTAATCCTATTTCTGTACTATTGTAATTTCACATTGACACATAAAATACAGAAGACTAGGGATTAGGACAGCCAACAGAATGGATATTAAATGAATTATCCTCCTTCCTTTTTTTTTTTTCCATTACTTCTACCATCACCACCACCACCACCACCACCACCACCACCACCACCACCACCACCACCACCACCCAGATGTACCACTCCAAGTAATATACACTTCTCTTGTGCCTTTGATACTTCATCTGTGTTTTGCCTACTTAAATATGCCTAATTTGCGTCTTTCATAACTATACAGACTAGAACTGATCAATTCTCTTCTCCTAAAGAGTTTCAAATGTAATATCTGCTTGAATATCTTTCTTTTGGACACTAAGGATATGTGCAGCGGCATGTTTTAGAAAATTGTGCTTATAACAGCCACAGCTTGGTTGGGATGTGTTAAGTGTATTTTACATTCTACAATTGAGGACTAATACTGTTAATTGCATGTTAAAATTAAATTAGTTGTTTTGATTGAGTTTCATTAGGTAAAATACCCTACTTTTGGCTTCTCTTTGCTACATCCTTTTTATGCATTATACCTTGATTCTCATGAACATTGGTTCTCATTGTATTAACCATGGGGGCACTGCTATATAAGAGCCCATTTGTGATTACATCAACACATAATTCACAAAACCCAAAAATTCCATTGCTGCAGTGAGCAGCTGTGTTTTGAAAGGGTCAGAGCTATAAAGAAACTAGATGGAAAAAGAAAGTTCAAGTCTGTCAACTAGAAAAGTAGTTCACATTAAAACTAAATGCAGAAAGTGTTCATGATTGACCTATGGAAGATGGATCAAAGAAGAGATGGAAGAGAAAGCCTAAAAAAAAGAGTGACTGGGTTTAAAAAATCAGATAGCACCCCCAAATGAAATCCATGCATTTCTTACAAGTCTTTGTTTTGAAATCATGTATGTGACACCCATTGAATCCCACATATGTTCTTTTCTACTGACAACTCTGGCTTCCTGATTTGAGTATCTTTTCATTTCTCACATTATATAGAATGATTTAAAATTCTCTCTGAAAATGATCCATTTCTTGTTTTTATTTGTTTCTAATAGATAAATACATTGGCGGCATCTACATAACTGTCAAGTAAATCACGTTTTGTTTTGCATGTAAAGCGTTTCAGACTTCTAGTTTATCACATTTCAGGCCTTCCTATCTCAGACATCTATTGCTAAGTTGTTAGATCATATTATTGACCATAAAGTAATCCGGAGTGTTTGAGACACTTCAGTTCATTGCTTATTCTGAAAAAACAAGCACAGACACACTGACAACAAACATGCCTGGCCCCCTGCAAAGAGAAAGAAAGGGAAGAAAGAAAAAAAAAAAACCACTTGCAGACTGGTTTCTCAATGAAAGAAAAAGAACAATTACAACACATCATTGCTTGTTTAAATTCAGGTTGCTTTTGCATGCCATATGCAGATCATTTTTCATTTCTGTGTTTTCCTCGTTTGAGCTCATTTCTCATTCGTGTTTTTGTCTCATTTGTTTCCATCAGCAAATGCCCAGCACACCAGGGTTTGTGGGATACAATCCATACAGTCATCTCGCCTACAACAACTACAGGCTGGGAGGGAACCCGGGCACCAACAGCCGGGTCACGGTAGGAGAATCAACTATTACAGCATCCGGCAAACAACTGGATTTGACCAGAAATGCCTCCAGAGTTAGGTCCTTTTGAATCATCAGCACAGCCATTTAAAAAAATTTTTTTTTAACCTGGCTTTTTGACTATTTTAAACATTCGTTGTACGATCTTACACTGGGAAAAAAAAAAAAAAAGAGTGAGATCTGGATATGTATGTAGAAGAAAAGAAGAATCCATTCTGTTTGGTGGTTGGTAGAGCTAAAGCCCTGGGCACTTACTGCTTATACTATATGTAGATCAACCCAAAATTTCTTATGGTTAAAATACCCTTTTTGAGATAAAGAGTATCTTTCATTTAAGGTAATTGGCATCAGGCTCAAGAACTTAGTTTCTTAATAAAAGCCCAGCTTATGGACCTGGGCTTTTTTCGGCTGGCCTACCAGTTTGAACTGCTACACTAATTATTTGTCTTTTGGATTTAATAGTTGACTTTCTGAGATTCATTTCTCTCCAGTTAAAAAAGGTTTAATGTAACTTCAAAGGATTGCAGAATGCAAGTTGAATGAAATTAATTTGACATGCCAAACTAGATACCTACAACTAAAAGTGCATTTATAATCTATAGGACAAGGGGTATGATTTCTGAAACTGAGGATGTTTCATTTAAATGATCAACCTAAGATACCCAAAACTGGGTGATATACTTCAGATTTTTATTTTAGAATCATCTTAAACTGTATTCAGGGAAGCTTAAATAGCAAAGAAATAAATTTAAAAATGATTTACCAGAAATAAATAAAAATAAATCCAAAAGCCAAATACCTACATACATTGGAATGTGGCATTGGTGAGAATTTATACAACCCAGAATGGCTGTTTTAATACTTGGTTTTTGTTTGCTGTATTCATAAATAATTCATAAATAATTAATGTGACTTCAAAAGAGCCCTCTCACCCTGTAGTCAAGCTAGAGCAAAAAGCTTGTAACTATCAAACTATATGTCTATCTTGGTAAGCATATTGCTTAGCTTGATAGGTTTTGTTTGTCTAAATTTTTCATTGTTTCTGCATAATTTGTATTTCATAAGCATATCAAGTTTTATGTGCCATGCATATTTCATGGTATTTGAAAAGAATTTTGACAAAGTGTGTGTATGTATGCATTTCACAATGCATACAATTTTTATGTACATCGGTACGTGTTTTTCCCTGGCCTAAATGTGTTTCACAAGTATAATGGGTGGCAAGGTTATCCAGTGATAAAGAACATTTTAATTTAAACAAGGAGCAGAATCAATTTTGGATCATTCATGTTAATGCAGAAAATTATTCATGAGGAGTGAACAAGAGAATGATTATATTTTAATAGCTCTATACAGTCAGCTCTTGATTATCTACATTAATGGAATAGAAATGGTGATAACTGTATTATTAGAATCATTTGTATTTCAGTTTGTATAAGCATTTTGTTCCTAACTTGGATGTATCTGTTGGAATTCTCTGTTAATAGAGATCATTCAGTAGGAAAAGGAAAGGTCACCCACTGTCTCAGGGCCAGAGTCAATTATCTGTTTCTCCTCATTCCCTTTTGGGAATGTTCAAACCCAGCATTTGGAGTGGGCACTGGCTTAGGGGTAGATCAGTACAGGAGGGTTGTTGGGTGTGGAAAATTTGGTGTTTTGGTTCTTTGTGGTGGTTTTCTTGGTATTATTGTCCTCTCAAGCCCCAGATTGAGGTGTAATCAAACTGCTGTCTAGACTTAACCCGAAGGGGCCTAGAAACTGAAGGCTTTTAGCCTCTGTTAATCCAGCTCCTTCAACCTTTAGTTCACCGAATTTGCTAAGAAAATTAGTTATACCTAAAGTTTTACGCAACTTTTTTTTATGTATCTAACTTAAGCTTTGTTAGGACTTAATGGGTATGATTTTGACCATTATAAAAGTGTTTTATTTTAAGATGACCCCAATGATGTGTTACTTTTTTTTTCCTTTTGGCTCCTATTTCGTATTATTGTTTATAAATAGCCTTAAGTCAGTGGTTTGAAAGAATGGGTCTGTTACACCCTATCAAGTAGCTTCCAGTAGGCTCTATAGAACATCTGGTTTCCCTCATGACTCGAGTACACTTGAATAGTTTTGAGACTTTATACAGCGTGGTGAAACCTTTTGGAGTGCCTGCGATAGCTATGAGATGGAATTCATTCCTAGTCAGTCCTTTCCGATGGTGGTTAACATTTTCTTAAGTACAGGTATGAAAACAGTTTGAGACAAAACGTTAAAAATGGCTTATTTCTGTGCTGTAATGGAAATTCCATTCTAGAAGAAAACTCTACCAGAGAAAGCAGAAAATTAGAAGAAACAAGAACAATATCTTTTGAGTGGCCAAAATAAATTTCACAAAATCATGATCTTTATTCATAGGCGAGTCCCAGGAATTACTCTTACATAAGCACAGTTTTAACTTAGCTAAGCATAGTTACTTACACTCCCTCCAACTCATTGCCAGTTAGAAGCGGAAAATTGTAAAGAGGGACAGTCACTGCTAGCGGTAGCTTTCCTGATAGAAACAAGGAAAGAAACTGCTAAGAAAGGAAACATTCCCTCCAAAGGCATAACCACTGGGCCGTTTAGGAAAGGGACCAGCAGCTCTCATTCCTCAAGCGCGAGGAGTACAGGAAGCAGGGGTTGTTTCTGATGGACTCATCAAAATAAGGTTAAAGTGTTTTCAGTGCAAACTGCCTTTTTTTTTTTTTTTTTGGTAAGGAGTAATGTTTAAGACGTTGTAGAAAGATGTCTGCTGAGATGGTAAATAAATTGGGGATGTTTAGTGATTATGAATCTTTAGTGTCCTGAAAACCAGCTAGAATTTAACTTTGTGGTTATTGTTTTGGGTTTTATTTTGTTTGTATTTATAAATTGACTAGTCAATGAAATACAGCCTCATTTCATTCAAATAATGAAAATATAGCCTCAGTATGTAGACAATTTGGGTACTTTGCTTTGGAAGAAAGGAGGAGGAATAAGCAAATCCATTAATGTTATCAAATGTGGTTCTTTGAAAAGTAGTCAGCATATATTACTATGATTTGTTTTTGAAGTGTTTTAATTCAATGTATTTAAACATAAACATTTTAGAGTTCTTTATCTCTTTAAAGAAAATTTGTTAGTGGTGATTGTAATTGAACAACTTCAGTTATTGGCACAATTCCAACTTATTTGTAACCCACTTCATGGAATTCTGAAGGTTTGTGTTGGATATAAGTTGGAAATGCTTTCTAATAACTTTACACAGGAAAAACCAGACCTTTGTGTATCTTGCTCTGAACAATGATGTAAGCTTAACCCTCCTTGAAGGAGCTGCGGACCTTGAGACAGATCTTCCTCTTATTGGCTGTTCATACCATTGCTGTTGACAGTGTCTATCCCTTGTGGCTTATCTCACTCCGTTGCCCAATGCTGGCTAAAAAAACAAAACAGGGTCTGCATGGGCACCAGCATGAGGTATGGTATGAATGTATGGGAGGAGTGGAAAGAAGAGTGGAAATACTGTTTCAAAGGTGATACGCTTTCTAACAATTTCACGTATGAAGAAGCAGAGTTACTGAAAGTATGTAGGGATGGAGGAGGACCCTCGTCATAGGAGGAGGAAGCATTGTTTGAAAGCAGTGGAATGGGGCAGACACACTAATCTCTGAGCCCTTGGATAAAAAATAAGGTTATAATTGGTGTCCCAACCCAGAAAGGAGGCATTTGTCCAGGGTTTTATCACAGCAGCAACTGAAGGGCAAGGGAACAAAATATCTCTTAGTCTCCTTATAAGGATTTGCCAGTCCCTGTCTTTTGATAGAGTGAAGCCAGCACTTCTTCCCCCTAGCCTGGCAAGAAGAACCAATATCCATTGTCTCCTAGAAGTTGGGGAGAAATAAATGTGATTCAGCCATGATTAATTTATTCTGGGTCCTTGTAAAATGTAGTCATATATGTTAAGATGAAGCTAAGCTCAAAAGTAGGCACTCATGGATTGGAGTTATCTGGGGTGCCCACTAGACGCTATCTGGTATCTCTTATCTAGATATTAGCCCATAGAAAGAAACAGTCTCTCATCTTTTTCTTTACCTTTTTTCCCCTCTCTATCCTGCTTTTTTTTTTAACCTTTTTAAGAAATACTTTTAGTCTTTCCTCCTTTTGTTTTCATTTTTCTTTCTCTGCGCAAAACCAAAAATTTTTAATCAATATAAGGCCTCAAAAATAATCTAACTGGGCCCTGTGTCTGCCATTTCTCTGTCCTTGGTAAACTTGTTCACTCCTACATTATTATTAGGACTAAGGACAAAAAAGGCATGACTTTAGTTTATACTTTTTGATCCCCTTTATAGAAAGCCACTAGATATGGACCTAGAGCCTTAAGAAAAATAAAATCTCTAGTCCTGATAAAGGAAATAAGGTTTTTTGTTTTCTGTTTTGAACCTAGAAGGTAGTTTTTGGGCGCAGTGCGTTCCTGAAATAGTGCAAGTAGATACAAGGTCCCTCGCAGACAGTGTGAGAGTGGTAAGTGCTGAAGGAGCCCAGACTCAGGCAGATAATCAAGTGTTGACTGTATGTGTAATGGTAAATTAAGCACAATAAAAGGGTGCTAGGTTATGTCCTAAACTTGAGACATGTGACATGTAACCATATATTTTCGATGTATGGATTATTACATAATACTTTATTTGTTCTTACAGCCAGGTTGTCAAAGCAGTATCAGAAAACTGCTAAGTAAAATATTTTAAAATTATGTGCCTAAAGTCATTTTCTTTATTTTCTTTTGATGTGAACATTTCTGAATTTGCAGTGGTAGCTATTTTCAGTGGAGAAAATATAAGAATCTTGTATCCATGGACGAGTAGAAGAAAGGCGCATTAGAATTTTTTAAGGGACTCTCTTTTCATTTTGCTGGTGAACTACTTGCAATTGAATAATGAATGTATTTAACTCTTTTGTAGGCATCCTCTGGTATTACGATTCCAAAACCCCCAAAGCCACCAGATAAGCCGCTGATGCCCTACATGAGGTACAGCAGAAAGGTAGGTGCTGGAGGCCAGAGGGAGTAAGGACTTTCTTTGCTGCTTTGCTCTACATCCTTAGATTTCGTAATGGCTTAGCCAGCATTTCTGTGCATAGAGGAAAGGATAAGGAATTGCAGTTTTTAAAGAACTTAGTTCTGATTTTAGAATTCCGGAACTAAAATCCAGCAAGAGGAACATGATTAAATAAATGGCTTAAATCCATAGGACAGTGATACGTAGCCCTTTGGAGAAATTCAGTGACATGAGAAAAATGTGAAGTGAGAAAAGGCATATAGGACTACATGTATTAGGATCTTATTTTTTATAAAAACAATAGTAACAGTAGGTTAGTTTGAAGAAAAAAAAGGCCTAGAAGGCAGTGGTTATCTCTACACAGTAAGCTTATGGTAATTTTCATTTTCTTCATACTTCTTAAATTTTCCCTCGTGGTTTGGTTTAGTGATGAACCTGTATTCTCTTAAAGTAACAAATAGAGCCAATATCTTTATTAATAGCAAGAGCATTTAGCTATTTTCACCACTATTTAGAAATTTTTGGTCACGATTATTATACATGTATTTGATGATATGGTCTGTTGTGTTATGCAGATTAACCACTTTCCTTCTAAATTCTCTGAACTTTTAGAGAGACAGAGACTATGTTACTGGGTTAGCTCATCTTAACTGTCAACACTGATTGGAGATGTCTTGAGATCTGCCATGGATTAATCCAGCAGAGGAAATGAGATTGGCCAGCTATTGATAATTGTTGCAGTGGGCTGATGAGAACATAGGGATTTGATACTATTCCTTCTGCTTTTGTTTATGTTTAAAAATTTGTATATTAAAAAGTATTTTTAAAGGTCTGTATTTTTAGGCATCCATACTGAAATTTCATGTTTCCTTTTTAAGGTCTGGGACCAAGTAAAAGCTTCCAACCCTGACCTAAAGTTGTGGGAGATTGGCAAGATTATTGGTGGCATGTGGCGAGATCTCACTGATGAAGAAAAACAAGAATATTTAAATGAATACGAAGCAGAAAAGGTAGAATGGGGACCACAGTGGGATGGAGACAATATAAAATGCATAAACATTTGCTTGTTTTTTATTAAAGAAACAAAAGATCTAATGAGCTGAGGCTGTACTGTTTCTGTGTGCTGGCTCAAGTCACTTAATTTCTCTACACTTCAGCTTCCTTGTCTGTAGAAAGAAGATAATTACATCTTTTGATATTCAAATGAGATAAAGATATTTGTATAACCTGCAATATGTTAATTATAAAACTGAAAAACATTTGAATTTCAGATAGAGTACAATGAATCTATGAAGGCCTATCATAATTCCCCCGCATACCTTGCTTACATAAATGCAAAAAGTCGTGCAGAAGCTGCTTTAGAGGAAGAAAGTCGACAGAGACAGTCTCGCATGGAGAAAGGAGAACCGTACATGAGCATTCAGCCTGCTGAAGATCCAGACGGTAAAAAAAATGGGGTTTTGTTTAATGCGTTCTCTGAGAACTAAAGTACGATCAGTCTCTTAAGTTTATTTCCTATCCTAAATGGAAAACAAAACATATTTAAGTGCCATTTTAATATTTTGATTAATTATCTTAAGATCTGTATATGAATTTCCCATAAGAAAATGATATATCCTTATTAGTGCAGAGATAGCAAAAACTATTTATGGTTTATGAGAATATACTCAGAATGTAGGAAAGGTTTTTGAGTCACAATCAGAATTTTGCCTCAACTACTTTTAAAAAGCTAAATGCCTTCTAGTTACATCCTGTTTTCCTATTGGTTCCTTAAACTTGCTGAATTAAAGGCTCTTAAGAGAGAAAGTTAATGAGTGGGTAGAAGCATTATGGAATTGTTTCCCAGTTAATTCAGAAATCCAACGTAGCTCATGATAACACATGAGGATGCACACATGCACACTTTATACATACATACAAATAGGGGAGGTTCCTGATTGGCATCCACGACTAGTTTGCAGGTGTACAGATTACACGCCTCGTCTCCACAGCCAGGCAGGGTCTAAAGCTGTAAGGAACCTCAGAGCTAGCCCCCTGCTTCGGGGAGCGTACTCCTCCATGAACCACACCTGCCTTACAGGTAACATTTTCTCATGTGCTGCTATGATGTGGAAAAGGCTAGAAGCTCTAGCTACAAGCAACAAAAACATCAAGAAAATAATTAAGGATCCCATTTCAGAGTAGGGATAACAAAGAGGAGGCTTGTAAGAACTTTAATGGAGAGAGGAAGCAATAATGCCACCTAAAAACATGAATAAACATACACCCAAAAGGAGAGGGGGAAAAAATGTTTTTAAAAAGAATGGACTGGGATATTGACAAATATTCTCATAAATATAGAATAGAATAATATAAATAACAGAATAGAATATGGAATAGAAACCATACCGAGTGTTAAACAGAATCAGCGGTGCTAGGGACACGCTAGCAAACGCAGGCCAAAATTATTCATATTGGATGATTAATGCAAGAAAAACATGTAGAACTAACAAATAGAAGAAGATCCAATCTACAAATAATTGGAAGGATGAGGGATCAGTAGAAGAGTATAAACAAAGACTAGCAACATGGAAGCCACAAGTAGATGCAGTTAAAGTTTTCTTTAGGTGAAAGGTGACAGTGTGAACATTGAGCAGGACTTTAGAGATTCACTCAGGAACAGTCTTCAAAAGAAGATCCTCCTCTCTGTTCCTCAGACTTTGGCCCGTTGCGTCGTATGTTTAAGATAGGAACTTAAAGCTGCTGGTAAGAAAGGACAGGTGAAAATGAAGATGCCAGGATAAGAGTGACTTCTGGACTTTACGCCCCAGAACTGAGTAGAAAAAGGAAAGTTTGCGAGGTGGGGATGAGCGTCAGTCCATGAGAAGGGCAGCCCCCTGTGAGCGCAGTAGCTACCAGCTGCTATTCTAGAGAAGGCATATGCAGTTTCCACACAAAACAGTGAAAGGTTTTTTAAATGGCATTTTAGAGAATGAGGTAAAGAACGGGTGAATTAGAAAAGAACTAGAAAATATAAGCCCACCCCCAAAAAGTAACAACTTTTTTTTTTTTAAGATTTTATTTATTTATTTGAGAGAGAAAGAGAGATAGCACGAGAGGGAGGAGGGTCAGAGGGAGAGGCAGACACCCTGCTGAGCAGGGAGCCCGATGCGGGGCTCGATCCCAGGACTCCAGGATCATGACCTGAGCTGAAGGCAGTCGCTTAACCAACTGAGCCACCCAGGCGCCCAAAGTCAGACAACTCTTAAGTGTAAGGGAAGACAAGCCCAGATTGCTAAGACTTGATTTCCCCTACCAGTGGTCAACACTGGAGCCATATAAATGAAAGAAGAAAGCAAAAAACAAAAAAGCATATATAGTTTAGATAGAGGTAACGTGAATATACCATGTATAATCTCAAGTGTGAATATGAAAAACTTCCTTAAAAAAATAGGAAGGTCGCAGAATTTTTTTTAATGGTATCCTATATTCCAGTAATTTTAATTTCAGAAGTATATGTCCTAAAGAAATTACTTGAGACAAAAAATAATTTGCACAACAGTTTGTAGCTATGGCGTTTTTGATGATGAGCATTTTGGGAACTACTTAATTACCAAATAATAAGGGAGGTGCTAAACTGTGACATAGCAGTATAATTTGGGCCTCTAGCAAAGTTTCCTAAACTGTGGTCCCTCCACATCTGGTGGGACACTAAGATGATTAGGTGGTTCGGAGAGAAACTTTTATTTTTATTTTTTTAAGATTTTTTTATTTATTTGAGAGAGCAAGAGAGAACACCAGTGGGGGGGAGGAGCAGAGGGAGAGGGAGAAGTAGACCCCCCCACTGAGCAAGGAGCCCAATGTGGGAGTTGATCCCAGGACCCCAGGATCTTGACCTGAGCCAAAGGCAGATGCTTAACCAACTGAGCCACCCGGGCACCCAAACTTTTATTTTAATGAGTATTGCTTAAGAGGAAGCTTTTTTTTTTTTTTAAAGTGAGTTAATTTAAGTAACTATATTAAACAAATGATAGTATGGATTGTTAGCAAATATGTCCAAAACTGTGGAGGTAATAGAGCAAAGGTGGAGGTCAAGGAAACACTGTTGCGTGGCTGTTCAAAATAACCATATAAACCAGATCCATGCTATATGTGTATGAACTTGAGTGAATGAAAACAACATAATATCTTTACACACTGACAACTATGTACGTGTATAGATTGACAAAAATTAAAAGTAAAATTTGGTAGTAAACATTCTTTTCCTATAAAACTACCTTAGGGCTTTAATGTTTTTTTTAATCAAATAAAATGTATATGGTGGTCTGGGACACAGTATTGCTAGAGATAATGTTTTCTCTGCAGTCGGTATTTTCATTACTTTGGTATTAAAGTAATACAGTGACAAAGACACTGCCCAATTCCTGTGCTGTCATCAGGTATAAATGCCTTAAATTACTACCAAGAGAGTGAACCATTCAGCAGCATTGCAGTCTTTCTGTAACATGCAGCCTTCCCGTTGATGGATTTCCAGACCAGAAGACACATGGTTTTCTCATTGGTGTTTCAGCCAAGTCCGTCTCAGACATATATCATCACTTAAAGATTTCATGAGAATAACCAGTACCCTGGCCAATGAACACATTATGTCCTCCCCATGGTTTTTATCAGTCAACTGCCCCAGTGACCCCATGATGTCCTTAAGGCCTCCTTGGGTTTTTGTTTTAAAGATTTTATTTATTTATTTGAGAGAGAGAGAGCATGGGGGCGGGGGGACAGAGGGAGAAGCAGACTCCTCGCTGAGCAGGAAAGGGCCCCCTTGTTAGACCAGTGAGGGCCACGGCTTCCTGGTGTTTAGGTGTTAATATTGTTAGTCTCTCCTGTTTATGTTACTGGTGACTTCATTTCCAGACATCTTGTTTATTCCAGATTATGATGATGGCTTTTCAATGAAGCATACAGCCACTGCCCGTTTCCAGAGAAACCACCGCCTCATCAGTGAAATCCTTAGTGAGAGTGTGGTGCCAGACGTCCGTTCAGTTGTCACAACAGCTAGAATGCAGGTCCTCAAACGACAGGTCCAGTCCTTAATGGTTCATCAGGTAAAGTCACAAAGCATTTGTTATAATAAATTGGGCCTATGTCACAGAGCCCCAGTGCATGATTCTATACCATGTATCAGTGTTCAAGCTGAATATTTCTGTGTTCAGTCTAACCTGTTCCTGATTCAGGGAAGAGGCTTGAAGAAGTGGAGGTTTCCCAGAGATTTAATAAGTTTGTCATTAAAACTGTAATACAGACTCTTGTGATGTGAAGTTTGTGCATTAAGAATTTTAAGACATCTTCTCAACCTTTACTACTTAACTAAATATTTTTTTCTGAAGAAATTGCTCAGGCCTGAAACATATTCTTTAACATACACTTGTTAATTGTAGTTACTCCTCTATGCTGCATTTTATGTTTTTAAAATCTTAGCTAGACACATTGTGCAATAAATGATTTAATTTAAAAATTCAGAACCTTTGTCATGCTGTGAGAAAGCATGGATCATTAAAAAATGAGACGTACTTTCTGTTTGACATTGCTTTCAAGAAAATAATTCAGTAATACTAAAGCCTGATCATATGTCTTTCAGCGAAAACTAGAAGCTGAACTTCTTCAAATAGAGGAGCGACACCAGGAAAAGAAGAGGAAATTCCTGGAAAGCACAGATTCATTTAACAATGAACTTAAAAGGGTATCAATTTAATGTGTTCACTGTACTTTTTATCACCGTGACTGTTACTTCTTTCTCATTCCTTTCTCCAAAATATGTTTTTATTGAATGTTGTTCACTTTGAAACAGTGAACTTTGCTCTGATGGTAAGGTCTTTGCTTTATGAAATTATTCCCATTTTCTGGAAAAATTTCAGTAGGTTTAAGATACCATATAGTGGGGCGCCTGGGTGGCTGAGTCATTAAGCGTCTGCCTTCGGCTCGGGTCATGATCTCAGGGTCCTGGGATCGAGCCCTGCATCGGGCTCCCTGCTCGGTGGGGAGCCTGCTTCTCCCTCTCCCTCTGCCCCTGCTTGTGTTCCCTCTCTCGCTGTCTCTCTGTCAGATAAATAAATGGAATCTTAAAAAAAAAAAAAAAAGATATCAGATAGTATCCACACATGTACTAGGCCTGTAGACCCTAGAATCCCTGGGTGTTTTAATTTAAACTCATGCAGTCATGAGTTTCCATTTTATTGAGATGTATTCATTAAATGTAGCTTATAGTATACACTTTGTATTAAAACAAGTAAATCTCGTGTTTGGTAGCTTGAAATAGGCACTGGAAGCCTTCTGTATAAATCCAGTGCTTTCAGCATTGCCTCACCACCCATTCCGCAGCGCTTGGTGTTACGTGGCTACTGGAGCAACTTTCTTTTCCTGTAGACACGGGAGTTTCAGAGAAGACCTAGAACCACGTTGTTTTTTCCCTCCCCCATATATGTATATAGTTCATAGCCAAGAAAACCCACTTTTGAAATAATTTCTCTGGTTCAAAGATCGTAAGAAAAGAACATTACTAAGAGAGTTTTCTTCCTTTCTGACTACTAGTTGTGCGGTTTGAAAGTAGAAGTGGATATGGAAAAAATTGCCGCTGAAATTGCACAGGCAGAGGAACAGGCTCGAAAAAGGCAGGAGGAAAGAGAGAAAGAAGCCGCAGAGCAAGCCGAACGCAGTCAGAGCAGCATGGTTCCTGAGGAAGAGCAAGCGGCTAGTAAGAGCGAGGAGAAGAAGGACGAGAGCCTCCCGATGGAGACAGGTACCCTGCCTGTTCACCGCAGAGTCAGCGTCAGCGGCGAGTCTCTGTATGATCTACACGTTTCCTTCCAAATCCCAGCCTCTGTAGTAGATTCACATAAAATGTTGATGTCCATACAAAACAGCAGTGGGGCATTGGTCTTCAGTGTGGCTATTTGAGGTCTTGGTTATCTGTCCGATTGAGTCATGTCATTTTCCAGGTTAGGCATATAAAGTATAATGATAGGAATGGTTGAGGATACTGGCCCTGGAGTCAGACAGATCTGGCTCTAATACTCTTTCACCACTTGCTAGCCTATGACTGCATAAATTACTTAATCTGTTTCCTCACTTGTAGATACTCTAGTACCGGCCTCTGAGAGTGAGTTCCGGAGGACAAATAAGGAAATGTACATAAAAAAACTTACGGTTTTGACGTGGTTTTGGCGCTGAAGTGTTTTAACCTTTATTGCTAAATGTAGTATGTGGTTGTTGCTTTTAGGATCAAGCATCTCTGGTGTCCTAGGACAGGGTTGGGCAAGTAAAACCTGCAAGCCAAATCCTGTCCTGCCACCTGTTTTTGTAAATAAAGTTTTGTTGGAACACAGCCTTACCTGTGTGTTGACGTATTATCTGTGGCTGCTTTGGGGCTACCACAGTATAGTTGAGTCGTTGCAGAGATGCCACAAAACCCAAAATATTTACTATCTAGTCTTTATGGAAAAGGTTTGTTGACCCTATCCAAGAGAAGTTCTTATTTCTAAGCATACTGGTTTTCCCGATTAAAAGCATTCCTCAAGGCACAGAGTAACATGGAAAACTTTCATAAAATACCGATTAAATTGATTACTTGAAATTTTGAGATCACCTTACCTTCTGGCACTATTTTGACCCTGCCCAGTGCCCTATGTAAACAGGAGTAAGTTAAAAGTGTTACAGGAAATATAGCCAAAGGCTCCCTGGACCATCACTGCAAGAAGGGGGAGGGACAGTAGTTGTACTTGGCATTCAACTGACAACTTCTGATTTGACATCAGGAAAATATTTAATTGAATATAGATTGCTTTACCAGATGTTACTACAAAATTTAATTCAGATTAGCATTTCAGATAGTCAGATTTTAAGTTTCATTATCTGACCCTTTTTCTGTTTTGTGTGAACATATTTTTTATCTTAACAAATTTGGAGCATGAGTACATTTTTGTGGTTAAAGCAAGAGCTTGAGAATTAGGGTATGGAGTATGATTCTTTGCTCATTTTGCAACTAGACAGAACACTCTGTCCTTTGCCTCTGTTCTCTCATTTAGTAGAGCATGCCTATGGGTCTTTACTCAGATTTTATGCATTTAGCTGAAGTTGAAAAAACAAAATTGAGACTATTAGAGCGAAAACCTCATGCTCTTATTAATTTCTTACAGAAAACAGCCCAGCATGACATTTAACAAAGTACCTAAAATACCGCCCTCATATCATTTCCATACCTGCTTTCTCACTAATTAAATCCAAAGCACAGAACAGCATTGTCCAATAGAAATAAAATGTAAGTCACTGTGTAATTGTAAATTTTCTAACATTTTTTAAGTAAAGCAGAACAAATGAATTAGTATTAGTAACATATTTATTTATTTAACCCAGTATATCTTAAACAGTATCTCAACATGTAATCAGCATTTTTAAGTATTAATTTTTTACATTTTTTTCATACTGTCTTCAAAATCTGCTGTGTGTTTTATACCTGTAGCAATCTAAATTTAGAAGCTAAATTTTCATCAGAAATACTTGATCTGTATTTAGCTTTTGTAAATTTACAGCTAAGAAGTAGATCTTCAGACCAATTCATGAATTGTTTCCAAGGTGCTAACAGTTCCTCAGTCACGCTGGCTCGTCCCAGTGCTTAATGTCACCCGCGGTGCGTGGGCTGTTGTGAGGGACAGCATGGCTCGAGACAGTCAGCATAATTAGAATAAACTTGTGAACTTGTGTCTTGGAACTGACAGTGACACATGTGTGATTACAGAGGAGACACACCTTGAAGAAGCGACGGAAAGCCAACAGAATGGTGAAGAAGGCACGTCTACTCCTGAGGACAAGGAGAGCGGGCAGGAGGGGGTGGACAGTATGGCTGAGGAGGGGACCAGTGACAGTAACACCGGCTCCGAGAGCAACAGTGCCACAGTGGAGGAGCCACCCACAGACCCCACACCGGAAGACGAGAAGAAAGAATAAATGTTGCCTTGTTTTATGTGTTCTAAATACTTTTTTAAATGAAAAAAAAATGTTTTTTGAGTTTTAATGGTGTTATGTGGTTTGTGTATTAATATCTTTCTTGTCCATATCGCACCACCAAAGGCTTTTAGACCATTTAGCATCACAAGCTAAATGGCACAGTCCCCTTTCTTAAGCCTTTGTGAAGATGTTCTTTTCTTTGGATCTTATTCCTAGCCCTCAACTCCTGAAAGCCTCAGAATTTAAATTAATTGAGAAAACGCCCACCTCTTTTAGAGAGTTATCCTTTGATGCTGCACAATTTACTCTTACAAATGCCTTCCTACAGCTCACTGGGGTGCTTACCAAAGCCATAGCTTTAAACCTCCCAGTCCCCATCAACAGCTTCCCAAAAGTCCCCTTTCCTGTATACTTCCACAAAGAGTAGTTTCTTGAAAACGTAATCATGTGTGAGTATGTATTTGTTCATTTACCCTTTTTTATTTTTAATCAGTGTCGGATACCAAGAGTTGTGTTAAGGATTGACTACAACTAAGCTTGGATCGTATTGATCCAGAAATAAGTCTCCATCGTTCAAGTAGTTACCAGCTAATGAAGTAGGCATTAAAATGAACATGGCACATACACATTATGTATACTGCTTTTTGTTGTAATTCATATTGGGTGTGTTCTGATAAATTCATCCTTACTGTACAGAAAAAGAAAGTTACTTTTTTACCAAGTTTTCCAAAGACAGAATAGGTCACAAAGCTTAAGGAATTGAATATTCTTGCAGTGGACTAGACAACTTCAAAACGATGAGCCCATTCCGGGAGGAAAACAGCTGGGAATTCGGTTCGTCCATGTGAAATTTTCTTCAATAATCAAAACTCAAAACCTCAAGGCTCAGGATCCCATAGGTCAGAGCCTACCTTTTTGATAAACTCTTAGTAAAGTCTTGGAGACTAGAAGCAAGATAGTTTGTGACACGTGTGCTTCCCAAAAACTAGAATAGATTTTTATTAAATAGTGGTATATCTGATGGTATATGTTTCTTAAAGGTCCAAATGTAATAAATAAGTGGAAAAAAGTGTCTCTGTGTTTTTATCACTATTTTTATGCAAAGCAAGTGTATCCTTTCGTTACTGTAATGCAGTGACAGCAGGGAGTGGGCCCCCACAGCCATTACAAACTTGCGTCCTCAGGGCCCTTGGCTCACCCAACAATGTCTGTAAACTACGGTATTAAGTTCATTTGTACAAGAGGTTTGTGACAATCAGTTTCCTTATAGTCATGTCACATGTAAAGGTTGGCCTTTGACTCCAACAAAAGTAAAAGGAAATACGTTTCTACATTTAAATTACCTTTGAAAAAATGCGTAAGTAAATAAACATAAGTCCTCCGCTTACATGCAGAAAACTTCACACGGGCATGACTTAATTTACAGTGACTTTTTTATGATTCACTGCTGTTGAACTTGAGCTGACAGCACACAGTGACTATGGCTGACTGCACTTGTTCAGAACCCTGAAAATGAGAGGAGGAAAGCAAGCTTGAGACGGTGGAAACAACCCTCCATCTCTGTTTCTAAACAGCACATGGGATCTTTCTCCTGTTTGTGAGTTGAACTAACAGTTCAGTTTCTAGGTGTCAGACGCTGTAGGGCTAAGGACTTTCACCAGCTGCCCAACGAATCGGATAGCTTCGTTGGTGCATTCCCTCTGTCAAAACGGGGCGGAGAAGTGGTTAAATACAAGTGTGGAAAGAGTACAGAGCAAGACCGGGTCATTTACCGCGGTATTGAAGTCCCTAAGATGATGGAAGTGGCACCTTTGCCGGTTTGGAGAGGGCACTGGAAAACAAGCACATCTCTGCTCAGCCTGCCCACAGCATGCTAGGGCAATTGACTGGAGAATGAATTTAATCAGATGTGATTTGACCGCTTTTAACCGCAGGGCAGGGAAGATTGAATTAAAATTCCCCCGTGTCAGAGTGATCTGTTGCAGAAATCACCAACGTTGGAGGTGTTTCTTAGTTTCTTTGAGAATGTGGGATATAATTGAGGTCTTTGATTTTTTTTTTTCTTTCCATATCCCCATAGGCATTGGGCAAGTCACTTAAACTCGGAGCGTGTTTCAACTGTAAAATAGATGGAACTGCTTGGCCTCAGTGCCCTTACTGCTCCAAAAAGCCATGATTTTTAGTGCATTTATTTTGAGTATGAATGCAAAGAATTTAAGGGCTTATATTTTCATGCATTTTTAACAAAAAAAAAAAAAAAACGGAAGGGGGAAATCCCCCACAGTCTGCTGGTTTTCTCACAAAGAGTTTCAAATTTCCTATCTTTCACTGTCAACAAGCATGAATTTTTAAAAGGCTCTGCTGTAGTACATGAATATTATTCTGAAAAAAAACAGAACTTGGAGAGAAAAGAGCTTTTAACACGGTATGAATGTCCTATGGAAAAGATAAAACACTCAGTTCGGTATATTTGAAAAGAGAATCTGACATTTAACTAAGTCGCTCTACATTTTTTAGTTTTTGTCCTTCACATTTAGATACCAGTTTGGGGTTTCAGACAGTTGGTGCTGACAGTGTGAAACTCATTGCTTGCAGTTAAATTGAAGCTTTGGTTTCTCATGTGAACAGACAAGGAAGCTGGGATTATTCTTTGTTAAATCCTCATTTCATGAATAGATCTCTACCCCCAAGCACTACCACACACGGGCTCCCCACCTGGTTTCAGCGTGCGCAGGAGTTGTATCTTGTTTCTCACCACTGGGCAAACCTTGCTGGAACAATTGGCTTCTTAATGGTTTGCACACTAGAGGGCTTAACGTCTTTGCAAATGAAAAATCTGCTGTGCAATAACAAGTCAAAAGGAACTCGGAGCCTTTTTAGAAGAAATCGTGCTGAATTATAATTTGGCTTACTGTGATAATATTTCTTTGATCAGTATGTGAAGGAAAATTCTGAGTTTAGTAGAAAACGATATCCAAATGTATTGGAAATTATAAAACTGTTCATAAATATCTTTAGTATTAGGTTGAACTATATGAAATTGCCAGTGTACGTTTTTGTCTACAAAATGACAAGTTCACCTGGTTCAACCTAATAATTCTGCATTTTAGAGTCCAAGTGTAAGCTCTTAATAGCAGCTTTCTGAGTGTAAAGTGATGGAACTTTTGATTTACCAGACTGATCTACATACCTCTCTAATAATTACAGCATATTGCTAAACAAAGCCCTGATTAAAATGTAAATCCCCAACTATCAACTATTTAACCACCTGATTTTGAAAATACATTGCAGGAAATAGTTAAACCAGCAGGCTTATGTTCACATGTTTTCTCATTTAGCACCAAAAAGGTTCTTATAATTTTTTTGCATAATTTTTTATTTTTTTATTTTATTTTTTTAAGATATTATTTATTTGACAGAGAGAGAGAAAGTACAAACAGGGGAAGCAGCAGGCAGAGGCAGAGGGAGAAGCAGGCTCTCTGCTGAGCAGGGAGCCCGATGTGGGACTCGATCCCAGGACCCCAGGATCATGACCCGAGCCGAAGGCAGACGCTTAACGGTCTGAGCCACCCAGGCGCCCCGGCATAATTTTTTTAATCAAAAAAGTGTTGTGTGGGGAAGGGAAATTCCCAAATGATTTAATTGCTTTTTCCATAAAACTGAGACAATTGAAGATAATGGTTTCCTATGATAAGCCATTTGAAAGGAAAGAAAGGCTACCTCAGATTCCTTGACACCCAAGAGTGGCAAAAACCTTAGGTCCCATCCGGTCCTTGGATAGAGAGCATCCCCTTCCCCATGTCTCCTAGGGGTGTCACGTGCTGCTAACATAAACACCTCTAGGCTTGGGGAGCCCATCCTCTCTGAAGACAGCTCATTCCTTGTTTAGTTGAAGTATTTCTCCTCATTGAGCTAAAATCTACCTTCCTGTCAACCCCCTGGTCCTGCTTCTATACCTTGAAATCAAATAGAATAAATGTAATCCTCTCCCAAATAAAAGACCTTCAAACATCTAAAAATCTAAAATAAGAAATGTTGTTCTTTGATGACCTTCAGGTCCTGTCCAGCAGAAAATGTTTGTAACTATAGTATGGATGCAAACTCCATAAAGTGAGTGTTGATTAATAGTTTCATATGGAGCAAAATGGGGAGCAAGTGGGTTCAATTCACTAACACAGTACTTCTCAAAACTCAGTCATTTGCATGCATTGCCACGATTTCTACTATTTCTAGGTACCACCTGTACTATTACTGCTTAACAGCTTTCTCTAAATCAACTTACTTATTCCACTTGAATCATTCATTTTAAAAGGAAACTTGATATCAGCATAAATGTGAAACAATGGTCTTTTGTCATAAAAAGAAAATACTCTTTTTTTAAAAAAGATTTTATTTATTTATTTGAGATAGAGAGAGCATGGCAGGGAAGGCGGGCAGTGGGAGAGGGAGAAGCAGGCTCCGCACTGAGCAGGGAGCCTGACTCGGGGCTCCATCCCAGGACCCTGGGATCATGACCTGAGCTGAAGGCAGACGCTTAACTGGCTGAGCCACCCAGGCGCCCCAAAAAGAAAAGACTCTTAAATACAGATATTTTACTGGTGATGTTTATACTTAAATAAGTACAATTCTAAAGAACGTTATTTAGAAGATCTGCACATTATCCAAAATCATCTGAAGGATCCCACAGAGTAGTCTGGATAAAGGTCTTTGGGGAAAGCTGCAATAAAAGAAAAGTCTATTTCCTGCTACCTGGAGGTTCAGGAACCTTGTCTTCTTAGAAACAATCCCTGAATCAACAGCAGTTTGTAACTCAAGGACAAATTAGTGAAAGCTGACCTGTGATCACCTCATATTAAAAGCCAACATTTTTGAGCACTTACTACATGCCCATGTGCTTTTCATAGCTTTGAGTCTTATTTCTAATTTCCTAAAGTTAATATTAGAGTAGATCACTTTACCAATATAATCTGTATTTATAATCTTGGGCTGAAGTTAACGCTTACAAACCACTTTTTTGGAGAAAAAAAAATAGGCTCAGTCTATAGCCCAAGGTACTAAGATGATACAGAGATTACATGTGTGTCCT